AACACATTTCCAAGTATACGTAATAAAGCCTGGATGTACACGTGAAAATATACACGAAAACGCTCGAAAGCCAATATAGAAGAATTTGCCTGCATGAGGTTACATACTTTGTGCTTAGGCCATGGTCAAATGACCTTAGTGTGTCTTTTTCAGTGCCCAGTTGGTTCAATAACCAACTATAATAAATAAAGTCCCCTAAATTATATAACTTTAAGCAGTTGTGAGTGTTATCTCAAGACTACCTGAGTCTGGTCTATACGGATAAGCCAAGACAGCTTAGTGTCCATTTGGAACGAATTAGCCTGTAATTCTCATCAACTTAATAAACAAATTCCGCAAGCTTTATTAACTTTAGCGTAGGTTATGCAGCCCTATACATGGACCCCATTGCCAAGAAGCTAAATGCGTCCAGCGTCAAAGTTAAGCAATGAACATGCGAAGAAAGGGAAACATAATTTTAAACGTGTAATTCACTGGAAGCTGCACGGGTAGGACCTGAAGAAATTTACTTTCAAGGATTAGCGTTTTCCAGACGGGGAATATTATGGTGCGACATGTGTTGGGACGCTCCACTGTACAACCGTTTGACCTTTATGAGCTTCCGCTCTTCAGGTTTGGTAGTGCAGTCTGAGGGACATCGAGGTAAAATAATGTTCGCATATCATACCAGCTATCCCGTCGGTGGATGTCCTGGTAAGAGTTATTCTAGTTCGCCCGACTGCATAATGGATTAATAGTATGAGTCAGGAACAGCAAAATACGCAGAAAAAAGAAAAGCATGTTGTCCATCCACCTCTCTGCAAGACGCAGGGTGAGCAACAAAGCCAATTAAAAGACAAATTTTGTAAAGTTGATTAAGATAAGGCAAGAAGTTGTCCGAAATAGATACATTTTCAGCTCGGCTTTTCGACCGGGGTCTCTGGTACATGGCTAGCTTTGGTAAAGGTGTCAGCGATTATGAAGTATTAAATCTTAGGGTGGCATGAATGGTGAGCGAAAAGTTATCTGGTTCATTCTACCGCCAGTCTACCAGGGTTTCCAATTGTGATTAGCCAATGTTCAACTCCGATTAAAGCTAAGTGATACGGGGCCAAGTAAAAATGGTAAAGGATGGGCTCAACAGCCATGATGAATGCCGGCAGAAAGCGGTGGGTAGATTAGGGGAAACTAAGGCCAACTGGGTTGAGATGCAGAACAGGGAGCCGTCAGTCCATACAGCATCGCACAAAGAGGAGAGGCAAACTCCAAAATCGTTGCAGAGCGTGTGCAGGCGAACTGCGGTGTGTTGAGCAGATACTGGGACTGATGACGCTGAAGCGCGCATACTTCGTAGTCTCAATCCCGTCAGAAACAAAAGAGGCGGAACACGGGAGGCAAAAGCTGTGAGATGTTTTGAGTCATTAGCCGGAATGAAGACCGAATTATAAGAGAAGTAAGAAAAGCAGCGACGTGTATTGTGTAAAGCAAATGCGAAAAAGCGGTGAAGGAAGAAACCTGGGTGGGGAGGTAAGTTGAGTATAGCAAAGGGGCTAATAGCCATACGACGCTTTAACGGCCATGGTCCGGGGTCCATCAGAAAGCAAATACGGCGGGACCAGCTAAACTAGAGCAGTGCTTAACCTTTGCAGACAACCTTCTTAGTAAAATGAGCTTAAGCTGCAACAATGAACACATGCAGCAATATGCAATACGGTAACTTCTGAGGAAGACGGACAAGTTTCGAAGACGGACAAACGTTGGGGAACTTGCGCTGAGTCACAGTGTTAAACTACTTGTGAAGGTACTCGAAGGTAACAATGCAGCTGGTGCTCAATGGGGCTGAACGTAAGAGTTGCTCAGTGGAATTAGCCAGTTATATAAGGTGGTATTCGCGGACAGCATGATGGCCAGTAGTCTAAAACGTGCTCTGGCAAAGACTCAAGTAACTGTCTAGTTAAGGAACAGTTACTGAGCAGCAGGCATATCAATAAGGTATGTAATCTAATAGGACGTAGGCGCAGTATCGTGAAAGGATAGTCAATCAGTAGGCATCGTATATTGTTGTTTTCATGGCAGCGAAAATCTAAGGTAACAGTAAACTCCAGGCGGACAGCAGTGGAAGATAGAAAAATCTATCGAACTCATGCGCCCAGTCACAAAGGTAGGCTAGTTGGACGGGTGTGCAGGTGATGATAAAGCATAAGTGAGAAGAAGCTGGTCCTTAGGGAAATGGTAGATGACTATATTAGGCCAGGTTTTCGGAGGCTCATCATGGGCAACAGCTGAAAGTGTTGCCACGTTAGTGCCAATATAAATGAAGAGCGCGAGAGGATTTGGTAGTACTACAAGATTCGGAAGATAAATAGACGCGCGTAGCCTATTTTAAGTCATAGTGGGGAGCTAGTAAAACAGGGACTCGGAAGTGGGAACGAAGCATTTGGCAAAGAATTGCTGGAGTCATGGCGGGGAGCCAGTCATACCCATAATAACAAGTGGGTGTGAAGCGAAGGGCGAAGAATAGCTAGAGGTTGCACATACGAAAAGAAGATAACAGATGATTAAGCGAGGGTTATAGCAAGTTCCGATGCATAACCAATTTGGCTCAATAGTTGGGGGTAAAGGACAATGTGCAGCGTCGACTCCAGGGTAGCTATTGGATTGATATATATGAACAGCGGCGACAAATACAGTTAAGAAATCCAATCGGACGTGGTAGCAGTAATGTGAATGGAGGGTCAGTGAGACTGCTGAGTTTTCATCTCAGTGAAAGCCAAGGGTTATCAAAAAGAGTTCAGTAAAATAAATAAATAAATAAGATTGAGGACAGGCAAATCTAATGGACGCATAGGACCAGTCCTAAAGGTAAGCCAGCTGGACGGGTACTCAGAAGTGAAGGAGAAGCTAGTCGTACAGAAACTGGAAGATGGCTTTGGCGCAAGGTATGAGGATACTCATCAGGGACAGCAGCAGACACCGATAACGCATTAGAAACAATGTAGGTGCGTGTTGCTAGAGGAGAGGGACGTAATAGGCTGGTATGGACAGTCGGCAGAAATGACAGAAGCCCAATTCTAATCCTAGTGAGGAGCCTGTTGAAATACTACGCCGAAGTGGGGCTGCTGCAAGAAGCGGAGGATAGTTATAAGCTGCAGACCCGAAAAGTAAAGGTACTCAATAATTAACAATAAGTTATAACGGCTTGCGATGCAGCCAACTTAGGACAGAGAGGCTGGGGACTACAGGTAGCAGTTGGGCGTTCATAGCTACATATGGGTAATTTAACTGACCTTCAGAGCAACAGTTTAGCAGCAGCGACAGCAGCCTTAGAAGGTAAATATTTCTATCTGACATAGTAGAGACGCTGCAATAGGATAACCGACGATCCGGCATAGCATACCGTTGTTTTCATGTCAATGAAAACCAAATTGCAAATAACGCTAAATCGGACGGCATTGGAAGACAGACAAATCTCATTGGCGCATACGTTCGGCGACATAGGTAAACCAGTTGGAATGGTCGTCAGAAGTAGAGAAAATGCATAAGTGAGGAGAAGCTCGTCAATGAGGAAATGGTAGGTAACTTTAACGTAAAGTTTCTTGAGGACTATCAGGGGCAGCAGCAGATAGCGTTAATGCTTTAGCGACAATTTAGGAAAACGGTGTTATAAAGGAGGCAGTAATAGACAATTTCCGAAGATGCTCTGAGGTGTGAGAATTCAATAAGGTGAATGGTGGAGTGATATTCATATCATGAGCGGAGGTGAAAGTGAAGCAAAGACGGAGAAGAGCGTGTAGTTGCCGACATGAAAGCAGAGATAACACATCATTAAATGAGGTTCATAACCGGTTGAGATTCAGCCAAGTTTGGACCGAGAGGCTGGGGACAACAGGTGGCATAAGGGAGGTATATTTTACTTATAGGTTACATATGGCTAAGAGTTCTCGGCCGCACCTACTATATTGCTGCGGAGTAGCTTGTAGTTTTCAAGGCAAGGAAGAGAAAGGCTCCGTTTGACCGCCCGTGACCTGTTTAATTACAGCACCAACAGTAGTTTGAGATGCATCGCTTTTGAGAATTAACGGTGTCATCCTCGGTTCTCAAGTGAATAAGTGCATTAATATTGGAATGCGCGTGTTTGCCTTTGTCGTATGCTGCGATAGCTTCCGCAGTTGGTTCAAACACGCAAGACTTGCCTTTGAGCAGATTGGTGATTGGCTGAAGGAGCCTAGAGCATTCTGGAATGAAGCGGCTGTAATAATTACCCAAGCCATGGCTGGGTATTCGTACAGCAGGCGTAATGACGGTGACAAGAAAACTGATAACTATTGAGCCCGTTACTTTCTGGAACGGGTAGAATGCAGCCGTAAGAGATCGGCTGCTTCCGTTGCTGATTGTGCGTACAGGGATAGAGGTCAATGCTGATTGATACCTGGTTCAGCAACTTCAGAGTATCGCACTGACAATTGGAAGACCTAAGAAGGGCGGCTAGTCTGTCAGATCACACAATGACATTTAGTTTTATTCCGTGCAATCCTGTGTTGGTGAGGAATTGCAGCTAGTAAGGTTGAAAAGCCATTTAATGTTTATTGTTTACAGGTCATGTGGTTGTCAAGGTGATGTATTTGACTGCAACGTTGCATAATTTGCAGATAACATCTACAAGGTAAGCAGCACTCGAAAAGTCGACCCTTGTGTTACGTCATCGAGGAGCTTTTGGCAAAACCAGAATGAGGGTCGCAGTCTGCTTCACTTAATAGCGATCAGTCAGACCCTTAAGATGTGGCACTTGGTACCGGGCCGGCTCACAACTGCGCAACATGTTCGATTGAAGATTGGTAAAGGGGTACAGCTGTGTTTACGGTAGTCATTTTTACTATATGCATATGCGCGATTCACGCGATGCCGTATACATCACATCTGTGCTCAGTACACAGTCATACCGAAACGCCACGACCGTCAAAAAGTGCTTGGCTACGGCACCATATAATTGTAAGCGTCGACTAGCTACGATACGAAAAGTAGCATTTCACGGGAATTGGATGTTAGTGGTGATACGAAAATTGCACTCAGCCCAATTAACTCCAAAAGCAACCAAAGGCATTTGTACTGTCTTGTCAGTGTTCTTTCTGATGCAAGGCAAAATGGTTGTAATGCGAATGATGCACCACACAGCAACGTAAACATAGAAAGCTTAGTACATATAAATAACACTAAGGACCCGCACACAATAATAATGGCCGGATTAGTACGTTCGAATTCATTGCAAGCTATAATCCTTTAGGCAAAGACATCCGGTGCGTCCAAGGAAAGTTTGGGTAGCTTTATTCGTCCAGTACTAATACAGCCGTAAGGGCAAACTGTGAAACCATTGAGTTCAACTTGAGGGCAGGCTGTGTTGATCTGGAATTCCTTTGGGACCTTGTGTGACATTCGCGAGGTAAATGTTCCAGAACAATGCAATGAAATTGATGTAAAGGACCCTGAAACCAACTAAAAAGTCCATAACCATTTTTACCTGTATGGTAACGGGACGAAGGAGAAATTTACAGATTGCGCAATTGGCCAAACCTGCGGGAAGTTGAGTAATCAACGCATGATTGGACGTACCATATAGTTAGTGAGCAATATCCCACCATAATGCGCCACAACGTACTCTTTCAGTTGTGTTGTAGATTGACCGCGTAGAATGCCGAGAAGCGATAGAATCCCTAGAAGAACTGGGGGAGTGAAAATCAGCTGAAAAATAGAAAACAGAAAGAAGAAGTCAAACAAACTTGCAAGAAAACGGCGGTGAGCTTGGATCTATAGTAGAACAAAGGATGTGTGACAGGAGCTGACTGGGGTCGCAGGACGGTACGGATAAAAACGAACGGCTCGTAAATGAATTTGGTAATACGAACGACACTTACCGTACTTTAATTGCTTTGCCGTAATGGATACTGTTTTTGTTACACGTTGTTCCGAATCTGGAGTTGAGGTGAAAGGTGGGGCTTGTAAAGGTGTATGCGTATAACGCAAGTTGGCCGAATTTATGTTCACAGCCCTTGAACACACTCACTTATTGGCGGTTTAGTCCGTTTGGACAGCTACTTCCAGGCAAGTGTAAGGGGAATTGTAGAGCTGATCCTGAAGTGTAACAGTCAGCTGCTTCTCGAACATTACTCAATATGTGTCACAACACCGTATTCCATCGCAAAATTTCATTTTCATGTGAAGGATTTAATAGTTAAATAGTGCGCATAATCTCTAAATGAATCTGACGTTGATGGTGAATTCACTATGAAGAATCGAAAGCTTCATCCTAAACCAAGGAAGAATGTCAAATATTTTTGCGGACATAGATTTCGATGTGTTAATAAAAATAAGTCAAGAGGAATTGTACTTAATTATGGATGTCCTAGACCTGCCAGTCAGCTGAATTTGCAGCCGCCTAGATTCTTCAATGCTCAGTATATATATATATATATATATATATATATATATATATATATATATATATATATATATATATATATATATATATATATATGTATATATATATATATAATCAGCTGCCCCATGCTGAGCCTGATGTTGCGTTCATGAAGCCTCTTCACCGCAGTTGGGCTAAACCAGCTTACACATAAACTACGTCGTTTTAATGTGGATAAAATTCATTCCAATTTATTCGGTTTGTTCTGCGTACTTGATAATCTTCTCCTAACTTGCAAACGTCGCTCATGCAAATTGTGGTAAACTTGCGTAATTTTATCGTGTAGTATTTTTTAAATGACTTTCGGACGTTTTGTACTTATTGCGGATTCATTTATATCCAGTTTCTTCCATTTGCTCATTTAGCGTGTATTTAGGTCGTCATATGCGTTTACTTTATTCGATATCGGCATTTCGAATGATTGGCTGTTGTTTGACATCCCAGGTGTGGTTGCTCTTGATGTGCATGTTGACAAGGTGTCTACCTGTCTATTACCCACTACCTCGTCCATACTGGCTCCAGGAGACAGTTGGTCGTTGCTGGAGGACACGGGGTGCACGGTCCTTGTGGTCGTGCTAGACTCAAAGAGTGGTTCCATGCACTCAGTGTGGAGCGGACTACAGTCCAACCACCGCCTTGTGTGTACTTGATTCTCCAAATACAGCGTGCTTGTGTTTACTGTGAAGGAGTGTGGACCGGCTCCGTTGATGAAACATGGCTCCCATCCGCATGCCTCCCGGTCTTATTCCTTCGGGTTCACAATGGATATGGGGTAAGTGGATGGAGCTGTGAGTGGTGTATTGCAAGCCACCCATGGTTCCTCTGCAGGCGCGGGCGTCCTGTGACTGTTCACAGTGACAGGCAAATCCGAAACCGGATGCCGCCAACCTTATGTAATCAGCAGTCCATAAGACAGACATAGAGCCAGTGAAAACCGTGAAACGGAAGTAGTAAATACAGAGACCACAAATAAATAATGAAAGTTCCAAAAATGTTTTTCGTTTTTGAATCTGCTTTTTTCACACGCCGTTTTCCTTTTTTGTCTGTTTAATGTTTGCGATGAAAAGCAAGAAAATCAAGACAAGCATTTGTGCACATTTTCCATTGTGCGCGGTTCTGCGTCATCCGAAAGAGTTTCCAGCCAGCTGTGTTCTTCATCTTTGATCCCCCAGCCCGGAAAACGCAGGGGACCTACGACACATAAACTGCAAGTCAGCGCTTTAATTGTTTGTCGCCACGTGATACGCGGACCACCGCGCGATTTCTTCCAGCCTGGTCCTGTGCGAGCGAAGAGAGCGCGTCGGGGCAGCCGTTCGCATGGCATGCGTAAAACGTGGCCCAGCCATTTCAGTTAGCGCAGCGGTACCAGTCTGTCAAGTGGAAGTCCCGTGTTACCCAAGACACGACGTTTAACATCATCGTTGCGCACGTGGTTCATGCAACACACTCGACCTGTTCTCTGCAAACATCTATTGTCAAAGGCCGAAATCTGACGCAAGTCATTCATACGAATCGGTCAGGACTCACTTCCATACAGCAGCACAGGCATTGTAGAACTCTCCTTTATCAATAGTGAAACGACACGCCGTCGCCACAGATGCCTCAAGTTGGCGAATGCCGAACGAGCTTTGGCAATGTGGAGGAAAATCTGTTCTCCAATGCTACCATTAGCAGAAACACAGCTTCCCAGGTAAACAAAGTTGTCCACTTGTTCAAGCTGCGTATCTTGAAAAGTGAGCACTGGGGCAGGTGGATGCCAATCAAGGACCAAGACTGCACTGCGTAGGGGCAAAGATTCTTCCATGTTTTGATGCTTCAATCGCCAAGCGGTTTAGAACGGCCTGTGTGCTCTGTGTGCCATCACCAAGCAAGGCAATATCTTCAGCATAACCTAAATCCGTTACGCGCTTGCCAGAAAGAAGCTCTACAACAGAACCCTGGAAGCCCTCGAGAGTGCTTAAAAGGACTTCTTCTATCGCAAAATTCAAAAGAAACAGGGACATGGGGCAACCCTATCGTACACCGCTAATGACGGCAAAAGGTAAAGAGAGCTTATCACAAGCCCTTAGTTTGCCTGAGACATTGCAAACTAATGTTCGAAGGATGGTGATATACTTTTCGCGTACTCCATCCCTTTGTAAGAAACGCCATAAGGCTTGCCGATCGATAGAATCAAAAGCGGCTCGGGTGTCCAGAAAAGCAACGATAGTGGGCTGGCGGTAAAGATGACGCGTTTCAAGGAGTTGGCGGAGCGTAAACAAGTGGTCTGGACACCCTCGACTGAGATGAAAATCAGCCTGTTCTTCAAAGGGGCACAATTCTCGAATCGGGGTTAGTCTACGGAGTAGAAAGGATGTTAACAGCTTGGAGGCAACGGATATTAAACTGATTCCTCAGTGGTTAGTGCATAGGGTACGGGTACCCTTTTTGAAGATCAGAACGATAATTCCCTGGCCCCAAGCGGATTGAACTGTTTCTTCATACCGGATTTTAAAGAATAAAGCTGTTAGCTGGTTGAAAATTACTTCGCCTGCGAACTTGAACAGCTCTGATCCAGCAGACTTAAATCGCTTCAAATGTTCTAGCTTAAGGCAGATCTCAGCTTTATGTGGGTGGTTCTTATGAGACGTTCCAAGGCGCAAAATTAGGTATACTCAATAGGATCTCCGGCTGAAGAGGCCAGCTGAATTGTGTGCGGAAGTGTTCAGCCAGCTGTCTATACGACAGTGTAAGTTGCTTATCGGCGTTCCGTCAACATCGCAAATGACCTCACTGATACCAGGTTTTTTGCGACCAGTGACCCGAATGATCTGGTAGAGCCTGCGAATGTTTCCAGACAGGGCTGCCGTTTCCATCACTGAGGTGCGCTGGGACTACCAAGTTTCGCGATCAGCATGCAGGCTTTGCTTAAGTTGTTGGCTGACAATGCGACGCAGTGCACTGCTGTGTGAATCGGTCGGGAGAGCTCCACGATGATTAAACGATTCCAGTGAGTATGCGGAAATGCAGCCCCTCAAAAGGCGCCTTGTGATTCCGCAAACTGAATGACTGGAAGTTACCATGGGTTCACGCAGGAAACCCCAATGATTTTCGATGTCTTGAGGTGGAGCACCAATGAATGCATGCGACAAGGAAGTTTGATAATTTGATCGAGCAGAGAGGTCAGCTAACGTGTTGGTGTCGAGCGTATGGAGCTTTCGTTTTGAGTAACCGCCAAAGCGAACGCAGATGTCCGCGCAGACCAAAGCGTGTTCTGAATCGATGTACGTAGACCAAATCGATCTACAACTCTGGGCGCGGCTTCGCCATCTAAAGCTGATTGCAATGTGATCTGTTTGTGACCACGCTTGCGTTGGTAAAGGACGCCAGGTGACTGCACCTCTTCTGGTATGCCTAAAATTTGAACTTGAAAGAAAGAGTGGTCTTCGTATAACTTAAGAAGTCTATCACCGTTGTCCGAACGGCTCTCATCAAGCACGTGACTGCCATCAAGATGGCGTTCGTACGGAAGCAGGCGACCTACTCGTGCATTGAGATCTTCGACAAGGACGATGACATCTGACTTTTCGGCCTTGTACAAAAGATTGTGGAGACCACGATAAAAGTCATCCTTAACCGGTGCACAGCTGTAGTCGGTTGGAGTGTAGGCAGGAAGGACAGATAAATTGCGCCTCTTTTCACGATGTCTGTTGATTCTACATGAGCCTTGAAGCCAAACCGCACACAGCCGGCTATCGATTGGAAACCAGTCGAGTAATGCAGCCTCCGCTTTGTCACTCAATGCGATACTGACACCAGCTAAGCCGGCTGCTGCTGCCTTCATGTCACTAGACAGACGTAGGTAATATATGGTCTCAAGAGCAGCTGGGGACGACAAATTAATCACGGTGCTGGAATCCTGCAATCGAGTCTCTGAAACGCAACAAACATCAATGGCGAGGGACTCTAGAGTGCGCGCCAGGCCAATCTGTTGTCCAATCTGTAGGAGGGTCCGAACATTGAACGCTGCCAGACGGAATAATATACAGAGTCGAAGGATAGCTGATGGTCTGAGGATTTGGATATCAGCGAGACGGGTATTGGAAGTATGAACTTAGATATTGTTGTGTACAAAAAGACCATAGTGAGTGACAATCTTTCCGCCTTACTGATAAAAGAGAGATGATCCATCAACGGCTACTTTATTATTACTTTAAAGCTTTTATAAATCACCATTGGATATTTCTTAGCGGGTCTTCATCATCACTACAGCTGTGCAGGAAAAGATTCGCGCATCATCTTAACATCACGTGGGACTAAATTGCTACTGAACATGTTATTCCGGTGGCCTACTCTGTGCTTTAAAGCCACAAGGAAAAAACCAGGTCGGATGTGTTAGTCAAAGCTTCACTACACTCAACCACCCAATAACTGCAGTGTTTCAGGCGGCAGGTGGTAGGGTTATTGGTTAAAATAGACATTTTTCATTTGATTGGACATCTTTTTCTGCAGTATCACAGGTAATGAGAGTTAATATGGTCAAAAGTTTTCTGCATATGTTTCGTAGATCTTTTAATCTATACACAACACTCCATTCTGAGCTGACAATACGACTAGACAAGGTTATGCCTATCTTACTATCGAGCATGATCCTTAATCGAATCTATTTTTTGTTGCTTCAGCGGAAGAAATGCTTCAAAATGCGACCGGGTAACAGACAGCATTACGTTGCTGAGGCAGATTTCTGTTTGTTGTTGTGGCATTTGGCTTAACTTTTATGATTGAACTATAATTTCCAGGTGTTTCACGTGACGCTAGTAAACCTTGGTGGTTCACATCATATTCACAAATTTAATGGAGCCAAAATAAATACGATAGAGACCAACTCTCATCCTTGACCTCCATCAGGGTGCTGGATAGGTTGAAGTCTCTCCAGACAATGAGAAAATGAACCAGGCAGCTTTCGAACAGGAGAAAGAATACTCACTTGATCAGCGAGCACCATTTTCAACACTCTTTTCACTGGGGGTCCGACAAAGTACATGTTGATGAAAGCATTCCATACGGACAAACATGGGCCCTTAATATATTCCAGTTAGTTTAACAGCAAAAGTGATCTACAAGGAAAAAAGTTCCAACGAGAAGGAAATTCTTGTTCCGGTTTAAGCTGAACGATGGTTCCCTTTCAACAAGCTTTTGCGAGAGGGCGTCACCACCAGCCATTAATACACCTTGTTGAGTAAGCAATGTACTGAAATGCTCTTACCTGTAGACATTGCTTGAGCAATAAGAGGTCTTCTTTTCAATAAGTTCAAATATGGTCGCCATATAAGAAAGAGAAGCCTTTGCATTCTGAAAAATAGCATGACGGCACAATGCGGTCAATGTTTTGTGTGAGGTCATTTCAAAATGAGTCAGAGGAGCGGACAGCAAATACAAAATTCAACATGGCACACCGGAACATTTAATGGTAAGTGCAATGTTATACGAGTGAGTGAATGCCCAGATTACGAGCAACAATTGGTAACACTTGCAAGCGGAGAACTTAAACAAACAAACAAATGATATAGTCCTCGGCGGTGCGAGGCACAGTCCAACTGTGTGGTCTGATTAGTGAGTAGAGCAGGGTCGCATAAAATAAGTAATTGTTCATGCTTTATACACTGGATCCAAAACGGATATTAAATTAACTGGCAGGTTTAATATATGAAAGTAATTGAAAAGCTGGGGACAATAACAAATACAGATTTAAACAAATATTCAAGTAAAGTAATATGGCCATCTGTGGAACCGTCCCCAGGGGGCCTGCTTCCATGCAGAGTATTCCCTCGAAAATTTTCGGCCGCACTTCCATGCTATACCTAGTAGTTTGCCTGTGTGACAGAGTAGCAAATAAGCCATCACGTGTTTAACTCTATATCAAACTTGGAACTTTGAAATAACCACAATTTCGATGTATGTAGAGTGAGAAAATTTTCATAAGCGTTACGTGTACATATGTATATAATTATATCTGGATAACAGGTTTAGGCATTCATTGAGTTCCACAATAGGAGATTTGAAGAGGCTAATGAGATGGGTTTAGTGGTCGACAATTTGATGACTCGTGTCAACACCGACGACCGCTTTTTCTTTAGAAAAATGTGGTCAAGGCCTGGACCTCAGGCGTCGGTTGCCGTCCCATGATACAGGTCAAATAAAGGTGAGATTTTCTACTCCTTACTGGGTCATTAGTTTACTATTCTGAACGTGCCCATATTTTGCACATAATCACAAATTTGGGACCAAGGGCTCCACCAGGGCTGTGTTGACGCAACTGATTCGGTTGGCATCTCAACTCCACCAACAGCAAATAACGGTTAAATGCTACAGTGCTGACATCATATCTTCCCTCTCGGAGTGTGCGGCGCTGTCTGTGAAGACGAATTATCGTTCACTCAGAAAGGCACGATATTGGCGAAGATGGCACCAGTATTTCACCGGAATGAAATGTCCTGTCACTGGATTGTGACTCCAAAGGAAGTGTAAGTGATAGCAATAGAATAAATTCATCCAATATCCAGACCATCAAATGAAATCACCATGTGTATTCTAAGATTGGAACGGGCAGTAGCATATGTCATTTGATGTGAAGGCGGGCGGTATAACATCTACCGGTTAATTTATCTATGGTATTTAGATGGTACGGGGAGAGAAGCAGAGAAAATTTAAGCGTCATCGATAAAACAAAACGCGTCCGGTGGTTTTTCCGAACTATGCTCTGCTGTGTAGCTTGTGAACTACTGGGATGAAAACCTTAACAGAAAACGAAAAAGCCAAAGCTGTAGATAGAAGGGACATAAGCGTGAAGATGAACGCGGATAGACGGAGCAGGTTTATGATTTTACAAGCAGATTAATGGATCTGTACTTTCCTTCCTAAGTTAACGCATTCATTTATATGTAATCTTATCGTGGGTCTTATCTGTAGATGTCAAACGCTTAAATGAGTGCGGAAGTTAATACGGTAAGGTGAAAGGTACACATTCTGAGCTCCCGAAGATGAATAACTGAAAATCGAAGAAAAGGGATGGCATGTACTGCAGCAGATTCTACTCGGCGCACCTATGTATGTCGTTTACGGTACACCGTATTCACCCACTAACAAGCAGCATCTGCCGTTCTAATACGTGGATGTTCAGGTGGTTAATAAAGAAGCTGAGATAACCTACCTGGGCTTTACGCCAGATCCGATTCAAATCACATTTAAAGCTCATTGAAGTATCTGTACACCCTGGGTTACTGTTTAATTCAAAGACCGGAGATCAACCCACATATGCATAGCCAGGAGGAACGCCGCTGGTATGTCACACATTTGATCCAGTCAGTCCCTGGGTGGCGTTTAAATTATGTTCCTCTAGAAGACTAATACCAGAATTGCAAACATGAATATCAACAATGGGTCACATTCAATGAATGAGTGCTGTGGCAGTGAACGAATAATGTGTCCAGTGTGTTCCGGCTACATAAAGTGTGCACATCTTACTATTGTTACGTTTGGTTGTTGCTGACAAGCAATGAATATCTCGACGCGGTTAAATTTCCATGATCCTAGTGGTAAAGAATATTCCGACTTGGTGGTTCCACTGCAGGCGAGGAGAGTAAAGTGTGGTGACAGCCTCGGTTTACCATGTAACTATGTATCGTCGTAACAGGACCCAATTCAGATGACCGAAAAGGAACTTATGCACAAGTCTACTGAGGCCCCAGATCACGTTAGGGCGGATACTGTACATCCACAGTACGTCGAGTAGTGGCTGAGCATAACGAACACGCTATTCCCTCGGCCCAATATCAGTGGCATATAAATAGCCAGACACGGGCTAGCATGAGCGTTTGCATTACGCAACGTTTAGTTTATAGTCACAATAGACGGTTAGCAAATACACTGACCGAAACACATTCAACTGATTCGGTAAAACAAATGATGATAACGAAAGTTTATTCACCCAAACTAAACATAAGGTAAGAAAGATCCTTAATAGTATTTTCTAAGCAGGTTATGATATATTTCTATAAGCCCGAGCGTGTGGTAAAGATAATAATGAAAGATGAGCAAAGGGAAAATGAGAACGTAACAACCATCTGGAGCAGTTAGATTAAGCAATTAGTGGGTAGCTACACCCCGTTCCGATTTCAGACACGGCTCACTTCAGCATCCCATCCAAGGTGAGTTAGTTCTAGTTTGAACTGTCAAATTACATACCGTAATTCAGATATGCAGTGGATATCCCAAGCCCATTAATAGATTTCAAGTGATGAAACAGCGCCGTAAAATTGCATGCTGTAATTCGTACTTCCTGGGTGTGAGTCTAAACTCGGGTCGTAGATCCCTGGAAAGGGTTGAAACTGATGCTTGCAGCCATACGTAGCTAACAGGAATCTTCCAAAGCCATGGCCCCTAAAACAGAATTGGTCTAGCTTGTAATCAAATCTGAGATTGTTCGTCGCAGTGTTAAGATACAGCTCGCACGCCAAAGCGCAGCACGTCCCCAGGTGCATGTGATGGTGCTGGTGTTGATTTTAGACGTTGTTTTCTTCCTTCAGTCGAATCAAGAACATGGATAGTTTGGTGCAACTTTGTGTGTGCATGCTGTATGATGCAAGTGTTTCTTAACGCAAGTGAAGATTTTGTATACACAAGCATGCCGTCACATGTGAACAGAGACGTAATTCCTATCACTGAAGGCTAATGTGATGCATGCCAAGGTAGCGTATTTAGGACCTTAGAATCGAGATGAGGCATTCTAAACGATTCAAAAACCCATAACTTTGGTCCGTTTAAAGATCTGCAGAATAGTATAAATAATTTGGTTGCAGATAGCGTGAACTGTGCACCAATAGTGAGTGCCAAACAGAATATGTTATTGGCCATTTTAAAAAGGCGCGTCAAGTTAACCAACTACTCACAACAGATAATGCTTGCTGCCATACAAATTTAAGTGTGTTGCATTCGGGGATTCTGTCGCGGCAACATACAACCACTTGACTGCAGCGCAACAACGGATCAAATATTTTCTATGTTGAAATAAGTTGGGTTAGACATAGCTGTGAGCGCTTGGGGGAATATACGGAAATGACTAACATATATTCGGTCGATTGGTTGACAGCTGCGGGCTTCACCCTAACACTGTTCAGCAATGTTACATCCGCAAAAATGAATCCGCAGGTTACACCTAGCTCAGTAAGTTGACCAGGCACCAAAAAGTACATTTGGTCGCTCGGTGTATTTAAAAAGAATACTTAAGGAATCTCAGTTGTCGAGTTGTACAGAATAAGGTAGCGGTTGTTGCAACCTTCAGAGATTTCAAACGATTACCGACTACTTGCCCAAAAGAGAGAAAGAATTAAAGGCACCAGAGTTGCCAAGCGGCTCCATGTGCGGTAGGCACACAAACAAGTTATGCCCAGCACGTATACACGATAGTGTTTAAACATTCTAAATGTTAAGAGTTCGAATGATTAGCGGAGTGTTGACAATTGACACAGTCACTTGTTATCATTCCGCTTCATTTTATGAGTAGTTGACAACAAGATGTTGATATCTCTTGGCTGGAAATAAGGCGGTTAATAAAAACAAAGGGAATTTCTGTATTTCGCAAATTATGTCGGGTTATGGTTAGTCACCAAGAGAAACTAGTTTTACGAATTGTGGTTAATCTCAAATGCGTTTACGCGGTTACCTTCAGCCGGGCAACTATCATAAGTGCTGGGAAAGTAGCAGGTGACCACAGAGAGATGTCTGATATTTTTCATCAGAAACTGACTCCACGAACGGTTTTACGCGTTACTGCATTCAGCAGGCGTAGTTATCAGACTACAACCAGACAGTACCTACCGCAATCCATTCTTGCGACGTTCATTAAAACGACCTCTACAATGCACCAGGTAAGTGGTTTGTACTTTTCTAATTCACTAGCATTACGCATGTTATATAAAGTCAAAACACATATGTTAAATCCCGAGAGTTTACTATTCTGATCTAGCTAGTGAATACGCCTGCAAGTTAACCGTTGTTCAAATTCAATGCGTTATTATCGAGACCTCACGAAACTAGGTCTTGGATAAGATCACAATGCAGGTGTATGTAACTCAATGATGACTGCTTGGAGTATTCAATAATGGTGAATGAAAGATGTTTGCTAGCAAACTAACGCAAAATGTTGTCGGATACCAACTTGTAGGGCAGCACGACTTGCAAAATGAACTCTAATTAGTGCTCTACTCGTTCTGAAAAGCGTTGCCTGCTGCAACCAAGTTTACTTGGTTCAGTGATAACAATGAATAAACACAGAGAAATTTAAAACTCAGTATC